GTAAACTGAACCTTTACTCCCTGCAAAGGGAACAATATTCAGTTAATAGGACAGATTTTGAATTCAACTGTAAGAAATGACAGGCTTTTCATCGACCTGAAAGAGCTTTAAATGGGACCTAATAACATCTCTACTACCCTTAAAAGCTACAAATTCTGCAGCTTTGCTACTGAGTTGGGAGCACGTGCCTGAAATTAATAGAAAATCACAGAAAATGCAAAGAATAAACCAATAGCACAACAACGAAAAAGATATAGTGTATGTTTGTGTGTGCACACATACATACAAAAAAAATACGCAAATATATACACTTTACCTATATATGCATGACCAAATAGAAAACAAGATAAAACATTTTCAAACTTCTTAGAAGAAAGAGCAGTCAATGCATTTTTATAGTTAAGGACGTATGACTCAGTTCTCTTAAAATCACTCTTAGCTGGGGAGCTACAAAGCTCTGCAACGGCGTGTTCCTTGCTGAGTCAAAGGCATGGCTTAGATCTGCAGATTTGCCAAAACCTGCCTTCCTCAGCCAGCAGAGGTATTTCGGGTTGGAATTCCTCCTTAACTCATTCAAGCTGACCACGCGCTGTTTATGACAGCGGCGCACTTGATTCTTAGAATTATCGGTTTGTAAACTTTCAGCAGCACAAATGTCCTTTCCAAAAAAAAAGAACAAACCCTATACCTTTACACATACAAAGGTCATTCCCTGTCCTGTTCAGTGTCAACACCCTGGAGCTTAGTTTGGAGTTAAAACCACAGCCTACCATCACTGTCCCAACACTACACTACAACTCTCCCAGGAGTAAGGTTACAAAAGGTTTAGTGTCAATATATATTTTTACAGCATGCTCACTTAAAACTACCATTTAAATGTTGATCAATTTGAAATAAACTGCACAAAAGTACCATTTTTTAATCAAATCTGCCATTTTTTACACTCCTCTGGCATGGCAAACTGTCAAAATATGTAACAGGCAATACTAATGTATAAAGATCAAGTTTTAGTGGGGCTCATTACAGTCACTATATTTTAGTTTAGTTCAGACCTTTGTCTTAGCAGTGCTTTTCCTGTGGTTTCTGCATTAATCTCATTCAACCCACACACTTCATCAGCCCACCCTAAAAGGTTACTCTCATCTCATCAATGGCAACAGGCCACCTGCCTCTGTAAATTAGCAGTGCCCACCTCAGTTGCAGCCCTACAAGAATATGGATGGGCTCTTCTGCAAGTGCACTTTGCTAGTGCATTTTGTACTACAAGACCAGAAACTGCTGAATCTGTGTCTTCATCCTTTACAAATATTTTAAAACTTATGCCGCATGGTATCTCCGTCGAGTGCTGCTAAGAAGAATTCTGTAAAACTCATCCATTCTAGACAGATCCATGATTCCAATAATGTTTAAACATACAATTAACATTTTAAAGTTGCATTATACACATGGATAAAAACAGGTATCATTAGTCACTTATTAGCCACCTTTGAAACAGGCAGCATGCTCATTATGTTAATGTCCTTAGAGTGTTTAAAGTAACCTTTCACATCTGAAGTGGAGGCTCTTGGTAAAAGGTGGCACTTAATAAGAAATGGCAATTACAGAGGCATGTGACTCTCCAGAAGATTGCTGTATGAATGTTAATTTCTTCACGATCACGTATCAGCCAGGGCTAATACAGACATTTTAGTTTAGAAGCAGTAGGAAGTATAGAAACAGTGAAAACCAAAATGAGAGACGAGACTAATCTTCTCTGAGTTTCAGTTAAGGCCCAGCACCTTTGGATTAAAGGCTTATTTTAATGAAAAGCCTTAATTAGGCATACATGTGTATAGGATCACCTTAATGAAGTATGACAGAAATGGAAGAGAAGGCAAACATTTTCGCTAAAAGAAGCTTACCAGCAACTGTAAAACACTCAGCTGAGGAATCTTGCAAAAAAAGGTAACACCAAAAAGACGCAAGAACGCTGGGCCAAGTTCAAGCACAGCAAATAGTGAAATCAAAATACACATAAGTGACATATTTCTCAACATCTTTGTACTAAAATTGATACATACTAAGGATTTTTCTGTATATCAATGGGCTAATTTTTGCAAATATTGCAGCCTTTACCCTTTCATTTAAATTTTAGATGGTAGCAGATTAAGTTTTCTATTCCCTAATAAAAAATTATTATGAAAATCCTTTAAAAGTTTGTATCGTAAAATTTCCCTTTATGATATTACTGAGTCAGGTTTGCTGTCAAGCTAACTTGTCAGTTTATGGAAAAAAAAAAGGTTATTTTATCTTTTTTATCCCTATCTTTAGAAAAAAATCAGTGACTTAACATCATTTTAAAGATAACCACTTCAGTCGCTTTTTACATCTTCCCCCACAGTACACGGAGCTATTCTCATTTGCAGATTTGAATTTAAAGTAATTACTTATAATTACAGAGAAGAAATGCATCCAGTGGATTAATCACTCCATTTATATGCTGCTAGAAGGATGACTCTCAGGACAGCCTCCCTGGTTTTTTTTCCCTCCCCCTGGGGAACCATCACTTTTACAAGGAAACAAATTTCTCAAGTCAGTAGCAGTTAAGAACCATGAAAAGTGTTTAAATCCAAAAGACTAAAAGAAAGGTGCACCTGGACCTAAGGCAGCTTCTATACCTGTTCTCCACTTGAGAGAAAAAGGGACTCCAAGTCTCCCCCAAGGCCCTCGCTTTCTGCCATGGCCAGAGACAGGACAGCGGGCTACGAGGACTTTGGGCCTGACCCATTCCTATGCCCTTAAGGATATTGGTCATGGATGATTCCCATGTATACAAAAGATTTTCTAATGATGACTCTGTAGAACTGCCAAAACCATGTCCCATCCAAAATGACACCAAGAGTGTTCACTGCCAACTGGGGGGCTCCTGAGGCAACTGGCCAAGGACTGCGTGGCCCAGCCTCCATCGCTATAAAGTTTTAGGAGAAGCTGCTGAAAGGTCTAGCTGAAGGAAGTCCTTGGGCATATGATAATCACAGCGCGTCCCTTTCGTCTAACCACCTGACAGATCAAAAACAACTCTGAAGTAAACCTTCTTTATTTAAAAAAAAAAAAAACACAGAGTAAAATATAGCCTTCAAAATTATCGCCCGTGGAGGACACCCACTCGCTTGCGCTAACCCACAAGCTATGTTGTGCCGCCACCAGAGCTGAGGGAGAAACGCTGACACCGCAAGGGGCGGCAACGCGACAGCGTGCGACTTCGGTGTTGGGGCAAAACCGGCAAAGAGCTTTTTGCAGGGATGTCTCCGTGGGCAGCCGTCGGTGCCAGGCCAGGAAAACCGGGAGAAGAGGAGGGAGAAGAGGAGGGAGAGGCGAGCGCCGCCC